GGATGCGGTGTTGCTCTATCAGTTAGGTATACCAAAGTAGACGAAACCAGATTATATCCTGCGTTTTCGAAAAGGTTTATGCACAGACGCAGCATTGCAGAAAAGTCACTATTTCCACCATTTCCCACTATACCATAATCGGCGCCAAATTCCTGCTCAACAGTTTCCATAAAGCGCAAATAATGTTCTACTATCGACTTGGACAGCTCACGTAGCGGCAAGAACACAGCACAATTCTGCGGTACTACAATATTATCCAAACTACTTGCCTCGTAAGGATCTGTATTCTTCGCTGTATTTGCAAATACGATGCCAATTAGGTCCTTGCTATTCACCAGCAATCCCGAAATTAGGGCCTTGCGTACAATATCCAATGCTTCTGAAAACCGTTCGTATTCCTCATAGAGATTGGCGTCAAGCACGAAAATCAGTGCCTCGCGCCCTTTATAATTTGGTTTGGTCTCATCATCATCGTCCTCGCTGTCACTGATAAGAACATCATAATTCGGATTCCAATGTGTTGTAGTGCTCGACGAGCTTGTGCTTGCCATTATTTCTATAAGTACTGATAAGTACCTCTAAATTTAAAACGTTGCTAAATTGTTTAAAAGCGGGCTCCTGGCGAAAAAACAGCTGATGGCTGCAAAACAAAATTCTGATTGTTGTTGATAAAAGCAATACGCAGGGTGTGACTGAGAAAAAACCTTTAGCAAATTTATCAATAGCATCCCTATTAGGGCGGGTATAAAAAATTGCTTGTATATCAACTTCGAATTTTTGAATCTCTGGAAACGATTCAACACAATTTGGACGAGTACGGCCTCGAAACCGGGGCCGACAATATCTTATGGATTTTTGTGCTGATTTGTTGAGAAAACTATGTTGCAGGTCGAAAAGGGGCAAAAATGGCCAATTTAAAATTAATTTTGTAAAAGGATTTAAAATTGTATTTTTGACGTTTTATGTATGTAAAGGCAGTCTCATAAATCGTCAGTATAGAAACCAAAAATTTTGATTTGTGTTGTGTACGTTGGAATTTCCTCATACTTGATTAATTTCCATAAAGTGTAGATGTGGGCGGATAAAAATGAAGGTAGATATACAATTTCTGTTAAAATTCTTTAAAATTTCATATTTTTTTTAAATATTTGTATTGTGTATGGCGAATTGAGCTATATTCGCCACGCGGTGACCTATAATTGGTCGTAAAATATAGCTAAAAAGAAAATTCATTATTACCAATTTACAATTTAAAAAAAATTTCCGTAATGCGTGTGAAACCCCATAGTAGTGAAACTTTTCCGCTGATAATTATTTTTTATATATATAACCCTGTAAAACCAGCTGTTTTTCAAATGGTGGCACTTTTCATTGCAAACTATCGAAATGAGCAGATGCATTCAAAATCGATTAATTCATATATTACTTAAATAATTAAATAATATACTAGTACTTTATTTGAAACACCAAATTTTGCATAATTTACATATCTACTATTTAGTTTTATGTAGCCCTCACAAATATATGTGCTCAATCTCAAAGAAAAATACATACTTTGCATATACATATAAATACACTTAACGTATATTTCTTTCAATATTTAATCGACTATCATCGCGAAAGGTTGGATATCAGTGCAAAAGAGGGAACACGTAAAATTGCAAAGAAAGGTGGTGTTTAAAAATCAAATAAAAAAAAGTTGAACGGTAGATAACCAGAAAATTGCTTAAGTAAATTGTTTTAAAGCTAAGCAAAAGCGAAAATAAACAAAAATGAGCTCAAAATCATACTTTGAAGATTCGCGTGACGAAAGTCAGGGCGGCAAACTTTCCCGGAAGGTAAAGGATTCACCATTCATGGTTATTGGTAAGTAGAAATTCATAAAGTTTTATGTAATTAACAATAGTTAAAGCTAGGGAAGCATTGACGGGAAGAAATTGCACAACCTCGCTGCCACAACTACGAAGTATACGTTGTGACGTCAGCAATACACGCGCTGTGAAATTCAGAAAATTTTTTTGTTTGGGTATTTTTCCATTCGGGGTCAGAACTGAAAGAAGTAGAGATGCGTGCACTTGACCTTGGCAATACTTAGTGACATTGGCGTGTCTGTATCCGCCGCCACCGGATCTCGGCGATAATTGAAAGTGCAACATTATTATTCACATATCAAAGAAAGTTTGGTACAATATTTTCCAGCATAGCTTATAGAAAATGTAATAACTTTC